CAGTTCCTTGGAGTGTCCCTGCCCAAGGTGTCCCTGTCCCCGCCCCAGGGTGTCCCTGAGCCTGCCAGCATCTCTCTGGCCAGGAGTGTCAGCCCAGCTCTGCAGTTCCAACACCATCATCCCCCGTGGGCAGACATCCCTGGGATGGCAGAGCTCTCAGGCGCTGTGACACGGCTGCAGCCCTGGCCAGACAGCAGGACTCTGCCTGCTGTGCCTCAGACTCCCTTGTATACAGTATGAGAAAAGATCTTAGCACAAATTATATTTGTTTGAATGCAAACTCTTTGCTTCAAAGTGCTGATCCCTCTTGGTACTCAGGCTCTGGCCAGCTGGATGCCTCCCATAATGTTCTGATGCCCATCCCTCCATTTCCCCATCTCAGGCTTGAAGTGATTATGCACTTTGGTTGATGGTGCTGCATGAGTTGCATGGAGATGATTCCCTCCCAGGCCAGGGAGGGCCCAGGACCAGCTAATTCTGTCTGTGAGTACATGCCAGAAATCTATTTATGAGTACCCCAGAGTGTCCCAGAAAACCAGACAGGGCCAGCTTCTCCCACAAGGCTTGGTCTCTCCCACAGTCTTACTCCAGCCTGATGTTTTCTTAGCTTCCCAGACAGAAATCTCTGTCACTAATCAGTGTTTTCTTACCCCTGTCTTGGCTTCCACAATTGTATCTGTCCAAACAAAGACTCAGGGAGGACCAAGAAGTTTTCCAGTTTTTTACTCTTTCAGTATTTACTTTGAAGAGACCTTGAAAGAGAGAGTTTGAGACATGTCTTTTACAGCAGTGGGTTTTTCCAGTATGCAAGATTAAGGGAATGTGCTGCTGATTTCAGGCAGATGATGTTCTTTCCCTGGCTGCATCACAACCTTTCTTCCAGCTCCTACAGCCTTCCATGCCCAATGATCTGTGATCACTGCCAAAAAGGGGCAGTCCCTCCAGTTGTGTATGTGGATATCTGGAAGCTGATCCTCTAGCATCCCAAGATGAGGTGACATGCCAGCACAACCTCCCCATCCCTGCCAGAGCTAGAGCTGGCACAGAAACCATCTAACTTAATGAGGTAAATGAAACTAAATTAAACTTCTGCTGGAGAGGGAAAAAAGGAGAAAAACCTCTGCTGAAGATGGAAAACCAGGAAGGTTTGTGGTGGCTGTGCTGCCTGCACAGCTTTAGGCAGTACCAGTCCCACCCTTGTGAGCAGGTGCACAGAGGGCATGAAAGGCTTAGAAATCCCAGAGGAGCTGGATCCATGACTGACACTCATCAGTAGCCCTGCAAGCAGCTAGTTTTCCATAGATAAGATTTGCACCCAAACTATTCTTAGTACTTGGGGAGTACATTTTATTGCTTATAGTTTGTGATTAAATGTGAAAGAAAGTTCTCATGCCCCTTCGTCTCCCATTCATCAGCACAGCTGCATCAAAACTAAAATAGATTACCTTAGAAAGGAGAACTTTATGTTACAAAAGTACCCTTAAAGAATGTATGGAAAGCATGTGAATATTTCTGAAATATGATGAAAACAAAACCCAGATGACTGTAAGAGGTTGAAGTAGCATTATCTTTTCTTTATTCAACCCAACCAGAGTTTAAATCTGCTGCAGGCAGTCTTTAGAAATAGCATCCTGCAGAAAAGGTACAGCACATTAATGTGCATGGATTGCCTTTGATTTTCTTTAGCTCTGTGAAAAGGCTTCATTAGACAACTGCACTAATGGTAATTGTGTAATTGATCCATTCACAACAATTACTTAAGTGCAGTGTTGTTCTTCCATGGTGGAGAACATAAACAAGAAGTTAGGCCATTGAAGCAATTATTAAAATAAATCTTGGCCAGTTTGATTTGTAGGGGTCTTTGAAACTTGAGTCAGAAAGATGACAGTAACTTTCAAGAGTGGTTCTTGGGAAGCTCTTTGGAGGGTGTTTTAATATATTTACTTTTCCTGCCCTTGCCCCTGAGCTCTGCCTGATTTAACATCTCTGTGGGCTGTGAGGTTGGTGAATTGTCTTGGATTGTTGGCATGTCCTTATCTTGCCATCCTTCCCAGCCCAGCCTGCAGACACAGAGCCGATGTGTCCGCCCCACAACAGTGTGGTTGACAGGGCATGACATTGACAGTCCTTGAATCACAGGGGACTCTGAAACAGAAATATTTCAGTCAAGGTAGTAAAGCTTGTCTTAGCACTGAGAACAAAACTTCCATCTGTTCCAGCTGATGCAGGCATATAGTTTTCAATTCTTCTCTCTACTGTATGCTTAGCATTTTTGAGTAATTCTTTTTTTTTTCTGGGTGTCTGAAGACTGAAGTTTCTCTGTCCATCCTGATTTCAAAGTATATTTTGCAGAGAAGAAACAGCTTTCTACTGAAAATATAGTCATTGAATGCTATGGCTGGATCTTTAAGGGGTTTTTTTTGGCATGACTTTTGTTAGAGATAGGTGAAGCTTTGAGTTTTATTTCATTCTCTTTAGTCAGACTGTCATCTGGAGTTTCTTTTGAGTTTTCAGTACTGTTCTGGCCTACTCCTTATGTAGAGAATTTCTCTAACTTCATAAACAGACACTTGAGGTAGAAGAGAATGCAGATGTTTATTATACAATGCAGAAGAACAAATACATAGTTGGGGTTTTTTTATTTTGTCAGTTCTCAGTAATATCTGCCTAGAGAAACATTAAAATAAAACCACATGTTTATAGAGCACAATGCCTTCTAAAATTCTGTATAAAACACTAATCTGCTGCGGTTTCTTTTTCTGGGTTTTTTATTTCAATCCATTTAAATAAATATGCAAAAGAGTCTTTCAATTAAAAATGCCAACAAGCACCCTTGCAGAGCATTTTGCTTGGGTGGACGTAGCGTGCCAGTGCCTGACCCTGCCTTACCCAAAGCTGTCTTACTCCATGAGAAAGGCACTGGAAGAATAGGTGGCTGGGAGCCAGCATCAGGCAGACAATTGAGAAACAAGTAAGGCTGATTATCCACTGGAACCAACCGGGAAGAGAAGTGAAGGGCTTTCCATGTCTGGATGTCTTCAAATCAAAATCAAATGTCACAGGGAAGAAATGACTAATCAAACAGACAATTTGAGGCTCAACAAAGGGTGCCTGTATGAAAGCCTTTGATCTACAGAAGATTACAATATTTAACAAGTCCTTCTGGATTGAAGCCTGAGTTTAGGGCAAATTAAAATACTGATAACATGAGTGTGGCTTTCTGAACCCCGAACTCCCTTTCCCAGATCTTTTTTCTTCAAGTCTGCCCAACTCCGAATATCCAACTATTCAGTCAGTATGGAAACAATTTTCCAAAAGGGCAGTTTTGAAAAGTTGCCAAGAAAACCATGTGCCCACATGTTTTAATAGACATCTGTAGGTGAAAAAAAATTCCTCACAGCAGAAAGAAGCTGTTTTTATCCTGATGGGCCATCAAGGAGCCCTGACTGAGATGTTTTATGGTGGCGTCTTTGGCCCAGAAACCCTTTTGGTGACCTCAAATGTCAGACCAAGATAATTCTATTACTCAGTAAGTTGGTCTGGATGGACATCAAATGCAAATGCTGCCAGGATTTGATTGTTTTCATGCTTGACATGTCTAAGGACAGAAAAATGGATTGAGCAAACTGACTGGTAAGCTATTACCAGTTCTCCCAATCACATTTTCCATCTAAGCATTGACTTGTGCGATAAAAGCCTTTTATCATTTGATAAAACTGAGCTGTCAGGGTTTAAAGTGCAAGAACAGGTTACCACATGGCAAAGAATTAATTCCACACGCTTATTTCATCAGAAGTTTGTGGTGGTGATGGAGCCTGTGCTCTGAGCCCAGTCACAGACCCCCCTCAGGACTGCTCTGGGAGCGCTGCAGGGAGGGTGGGGAGCACAAATAATCCAATTCCCCCTCTGTGGGAACAGCCTGGACATAAGCAAATATCCATATGAACAGTGGCACATCTTCTGTCCATACCTCACAAATTAATAGTAATTAGAGGAGGAAGAATTCAGTGGCTCTTGCCTTAGCAATAAATTATAATCTGCAAGATATAAAAAGAGCTTCATCTCTTTCAACCCATATTTTTACTATTTCTCTTGCAAAATAAGAGCAGATATATGCTTTAATGTCAGGCAAGCACTCTAGCCAGTGGGGTTTTGTTGTTTTTCAAAATTAGAAAAATTGGTTCCTTTGCTGAGTGGATTCCTGTGATCTAAAGCTGCAGTGCCTGTTATCAGTATGCAGCTGCTTGCTTTAAATCACTAACTTCTGAAACACTTTCTCAAGCATTCCTGAAATAGAATATTTCATGTGGAAATAAACGAGTTTATGAAACCCTTTTAATTATTTTACTTCAGTAAAAAGATTAAAATCTAAATCTCTCTCGCTCCACATCCATGTTGTAACTTAGAGAATATAAAAGAGATTTATCACTATCAAATTCTAAATACAGAACAAAGTCTATTTTTTATCTTTCCCCCACACAATTTGAAAGCCCTCAAACTCCCCCACCCACCTACTGTACATATGAGATGAATATTGTCAAGTACAAATTAACAATTGCTTCTGAGTGTAGATCCCAGGCTCAGTTCAAAGCCTGCAGAGCATTTCCCAACACAAGGGATCAGGCATCTCAGGGGAATAAAAAGGCTCTGAATCTGAAATTATGGGCCATATCTAATTGTTTCATATATATAGTTATATATATTAATATATTGATATAAATATATAAATATATATGACTATATATAAATATATATGACTATATATGACTATATATGACTATATATGACTATATATGACTATATATGACTATATATGAATATATATGAATATATATGAATATATATGACTATATATATGATTATATATAGTCATATATATATATAACTATATATATGACTATATATATGACTATATATATATTTATATATTTATATATATTTTTTATCTATATATACATATAGTAGAAAATTTAGTATCATTTAGCAGCAGGATGGCCTGATGTATTTTTGGAGGGAAGGGTGTGCTTGTCTTCATGGGTTGTTTAAGATGCATTTTGGTGAGAAAGCAGACATCAAGATTTGAGTTCATATGGTCTTGCAGCGCCATTTATTCCCAGGGATCACAGTAAGCCTACTGCCCTGCTCCTAAAGAAGCTGTTCCCTGGGAATACATCAGGGAACAAGGGTTTATATGTATCCTAGGCTACAGCTGGTGAATGCCATGCCACTCACTGCAGGGCCATGAAAACCTTGATTGCAGTTTGGATTGCTGTAATTAGCACTTTGTATTTGCACTATGCATTTTAAATCAGGTGCACATTAATACATCAGTTATCAAGTATGAGCAGCACAGAGCATCACAATTTTTATAAAGACTTATTCAAAGTAGATGATTTTTAATGTGTGTGATTAGTTGCAACCAAAATTACAGTAATAAATAAAATTATATACGAAACAGAATAGGAGGCTTCTACATAAGAATGAGGCAAATGGTATAACAAATGCCAAATTGATTTCTAATGCTGGTTCAAATAAAATGTTTAGAGGAATTGCTTATGCTTGGATGTCAGTACTGAAAAATGTGAAGATCTTGTTTATTAAAAATATTTTAAAGCTAATAAACTCTGTTAATGTAGACCATGCAAGTATTTGTAAATGCCTTAAAGAGGCACTAAACACTAAAATTAGGAGTTGGTTTTATGCAGCGTGGTGATGTAATTCACAGCAACAGAGGAATCCCAAATGCTATGGAGAGTTTGTCTCAAAGTCCCCCTTTGCTCAAAATTTTCAGCTTCCAAATGGTGGCTCTGTTCTCTGAAAATCATTGTTTGAATTGGGACTTCTACAGTGCCAGTTTTTGCAAAAGGATTTTTGAAACTGTGGGGAAATATGCTTTGAGGCAGCTCACAAATTGGGGTTATTCTTATGTATCAAAATTTAGGCATTTGCAGGACTGCTCTTTTTGCTGAGACACCACAGATCAACAGATTGTAGACATTAAGCACAAGAGGTAACTTGGACAAAAAAATGCACTAGTTCCATGCAGTTTTTGTATTCTTGTGGATATTTTTTAAAGCAGATACTTTTTTTCCCCCAAAATATTTGCTTTGATTAATTTGTATTTCTCATTCTTTAAAAAGCTGCTAAAACATTCCCAAGCAGCTGGCTGAGGAGACTTTACACTAGAAAGATACTGAAACACCATTGAATCCAATCCTCATGAGCACTGTACTTCTCTAGAGCAGTTTATTCCCAAAGTCTTCTGTAGGGTTTGATCAACTGTTTTCTGTTTTCCCTGGCTCTGCTCCACACCTTGCAGTAATTGCTGTCACCAGCTCTCTCAGTGGCTTCACCCTGAATAGATTTTCTGCTCAGTTTCAGATTTTTCCCATGTGTCCCATGGGTTTCCTAATGGCACTAGTCTGTGCCCCCCAGCTGACAGGGAAAAGGCTTTCTGTTCTCTGTATTTTGTATTTTATGTTTATTCACCTGTTTCTCCGTTTGTTGCATATATGTTTCAACACATTTCACCACCTGCTTCCCTCTGGAGCACTGCCAGATGCCACCTCACCTTTCCAGCCTGCAAAGGGAAGGAAATGAGCTTCGGGGTGAAGGTGCTGTCCCAAAGGTCAGGGACTCTTTTTTCTTCCTGTATTTCTTCTAGGCCGCTTTTGTTTTCATTTTTAGGGAAGGCTAAACCCTTGAGAAGTTTACTCTCAGATGTCACCTGCACATTTCTCATTAATAAAAATGAATTTATTCCTCTGCCCTGAGGTAACCAGTAACAAATATGAGGTAGTTCATAACAAATGCGTGTCTCAGAGCACGACTTGACTGCGTAATTTCACTTGCGGCACTAGACTGGATGTTAGTCTGTCACTAGAACCCTGCCAGATTGCCACAGTGACGGTCTGACTGCTAATTTTCTCTCCCAATGGTATGTACTATTTTGCAAAGAAGTTTGCTTTAATAAAAATTCCACTAACATTATTCTGTTTCATTCCCATTACTAAAAAAGACTTAATTTACTTTATTTAAAAATGGTTTTTCAAATGCACTTATTCTGACACTTTCTCGTTCTGGTGATGAGAAAATCTCTGAATAACATGAGAAGAATAAAAATGCACTGCCCTTTTTTTATTCAGTAAGTAACATATTGTAAAAGATACCAGTTTCACCAGAACTGTTTTTGTGACAGCATTTGTGGCTTTCCTGATAGCAGGGCTGTTAGACAACTATTTTGTCTGACTCAAGAGTTGCTGACATATCTTATTTGGTAACTGATGCAGCTGCACAGCCAGTTTAAAATGCTCAGCACCAGGTCCTTAGACCATGTGAAAAGCCCCAGCTCCATTAACTTCACTGGAGATGTGTCTATTTATATCAGCTGGCACGGTGGGAGATGCAGCTATTGTCCAAGGAGGGAAGGGGATAGGAAATGCTGGATGGGCAGCCACTGACAGATTATTTCTGACAACAGAAGAGAAGCAGAATGAAATTCCCATCCCTTTTTTCAATACTGCTTCTAAATGCTGATTCACTAACTAATGCCACAGATCTTTTTCCTCCTACAAGCAGCAGGCTTGCATCACAATTTATAATGTGTTAACAAGTTCTGAGGGGTCTTCCAAGGAAGGTCCTAGAGTACCTCTCAGAAATTTGCAACAAAATTACACCAAAGATCCTCAGGTATTCATCCTGGAGGTAAAAAAATCAACATGCTATTGTCAGTGGTCAAAAACAGCTTGTATCAGAATTCCTGGGAAGCCTGTGCACCTGCTAGAGAGGGTTGGATAGGCTTCTGTGCTGTGGCCACTTTGAGCTCTGGTTCAAGACAATAAAACCCCAGGGTGCCCCAGAGATTCAGCAATTCCTGCCAGCAATTTCCAGCTGCTGACTTGGTGGATGACAACATCCCTAATTCTCAGCAACAAGACTTTGCTCTCTCTCTGAGCCCACTGGTTCAGAGGAGTCAGATTTGGTTTTGCTTTTAGCCGGCACCATTCTCTGTTTCCTCCCCCAGGCAGCAAAGAACATGCTGCTGGTTAGAAAATGAAGGGTTTATTTCCCCCTCTCTAGAGATCTGATCAGTTCTGACAGGGTACACTTACCCTTTATCCTTTCTGGCATTCTGATGGACTGCCTCCATGGTTTTTTGGCAGTCCAATCTGCCCTCTCACTGCAATGGAAGGAAGAAGGCAAGGCTGGAGCATCAGTGCCTACAGCTGAATGCCCTTGCAGCTGCAAGCAGAGGAAGAATCCCAGGCTGACTGAGCTTGCTCCTACTTAAGAGACCCATGGGATACATTCAGTCCTCTCCCCTCATCTCATATGGGTCAGATTTATGAAGAATTAGTGTTTTTTCAGCCTTGCAAGTAGTCAATTTTAAGGTCTCCAGCACTCAGCACTGTTTTATTAATGAAAATCTAAATGGTAGAAAACTGCTAATTATGAGATCTTAACACCCTTCAACTCAATCTTCAGATGTGTTGTAGGTTGTGTATGAGGGACTATTGTTTCATGCCATTATATATTAATGAGGAGTATGTTATTAGTGACAATGAACTCTTTGTGGTTTATGGTTTACTGAAGAATATTTTTTAAAAGAAGACTTTGTGCTCTCAGGGCAATTTATGTTGGAACAAGAGTGTCTATAAACTGCAGGTGTCTCATTAAATTCTGCTGGTGATTAGAAGAAGCAGCCATGTGCAGAGATCTTCATCAGGGGCTCTGTGATTTGTGTTGTCATGCTCAGTTTTCCCCTAATAGCTGCACATTACTTAGCATTGATGCTCAGCTGCTGTGAGCAGAGCTCTGCAAAAATAGTTGATTTCCATTCAGAAGCAAATGGCACCGAGCCAGCTATTGATTTATAGACTGACACATTCCCCTTTAAAATGGCTATAGGAACATTGGTTACTTACCTGTTACCTTTTTCTAGAAGTGTGTTAAAAATAATTTTCCACTCGATAAACGGAAACACAGTGTGTGATATTTATACTGGTCATTTTTATAGAGAGCTCTGAAAAGGACTACTTTATACAATTGCACTGGAGAGAGAGAGAAGGGCTGAGAAAAGACGGACCGGATCCCCCCGAGAGACCGAGAGAGAAGGGCTGAGAAAAGACGGACCGGATCCCCCCGAGAGACCGAGAGAGAAGGGCTGAGAAAAGACGGACCGGATCCCCCCGAGAGACCGAGAGAGAAGGGCTGAGAAAGTTTGTCAGTATTCCCAGTTCTGGTTAAATGGTTTGGCCTGGAGGCAAGATGGATACATGCCCATTTCTTCCCAGCATGGACATGTGTTTGAAAACAGAAACTTGGCATAACGTTTTTAAAAAAACCAACACTAAACACAAAACAACAACCCTTTTGTATCTGCAACATATACTGCTTCTTTAGGGGGAAAAGGCAATACTATTCAAGCTCATAACTGCAGGGGTACATTATTTAGAATTGTGCTATGTCTTATTCATCTGAACAGCTAAAGAAAATTTATTTTCATATTCCTACAGAAATGATTTTATAATCCTCTGGTAGAAATATGACAGCTACTTTTAAAATTTTTTGTACCTCCAGTGCTTGGCTGGTCTTTTTTTTTTTGTTCATAATCTTGCAATTGTGCTTGGGATAAAGGAGCAGTACTGGCTTTTTCTCAGGACTGAGGGTCTGCTTGGGAGAGAGAATCTAAGCCATATAAAAGAATACACCAAACTATTTGTCATGATTCTGATTTTTCCTCACGTTCAGGTCTTGCAGTGGGCACAGATTACGATGATATCAATTTGCAGCTCTGAAGGGCCAGAGAAGCCCAAACATGAATGCCAACTCAGGCATTGTTTATTACCCTGGTCCTGTCCAGCCCCTGGCACAGTGAGCCCCTTATCCACTTGGCCTGGGACAGATACCAAAATATTTATACCATGATCATATTTTCCTCGAAGTTCAGATGGAGATTGTTTTGGGATCCAAGAATTTTGCAGAAGATTCATCCTATTAGCAATGCAACTCTGCTGTTCCTTGGCATTCACAAAGCCCTTGTTCTTCCCATTCCTCAGCTTCCTCAGCTAGCTTGTGTTGGCTTTGGCTGGGCCAGGGGGTGAAATCTGTTCTTCAGCTGAGAGCAGAAGATGCCTGCAAGCTGGATGGGCCACCTGTTAGATGGAGACCAAATACATGCTTTTGGCTTTTTCACATGAATAAGAGCCACAGTCAAAAGAAACATTTAGGTATTTTGGGTAACAATAGTTTGCAAAGGCCTGATTTTTTTTCTCTGATTTTCAAACTGCAGTTAACCTTTTGAAGGCTCCATGCTGGCACTGAGGCATAAAAGCTGCCCAGTCCAAGCTCTTGCTCAAAGGTGCACCAGTTAAACTGGATTTCTTAGGCTTTTGTCCTGTCAAGCTCGGGTATCTCCAAGAACATAAACTCTGCGACCTTTTTGGAATGCAGTTCCAGTTCTTGACACTTTTCAGTGTATAAAACCTTTTCTTAATACCAAGCTGGAATTTCCTGTGTTCCTGCTTGTGCCTGTTGTCTCTTGTCCTGCCATTGTGCACTTCCAAGGAGGGTTTGGCTCCATCTCCATGAGCTGTACACAGGAGTCACTGCTTAAGGCCAAACAAGCCCAGTCCTCTCAGTCCTCTCATAACAATCTTCCCTGTTCCTGTGCAAGAGAGAGGATGTGAGGTTTTATGTAGGGCTTGCTTCTTCTAATGAAAAGCCACTGTTATCTTCTGCTTTTAGCAGCAGGCACTTCACAGTACCAGAAGTGTCTGCAGAGATCCACACAAGCACCCTTTAAAAGCCCACACCTATTGATTTGGCATTGTTCCAGCTGTGCTCTGCTTTCCAGCATCTTTGCAGCTTGAGAACAGGCACTCAGGGCAGCCAGTTTAAATATTTATAGCTGTGTGGTTGCACACTCCAGCTACCAGACTTTTATCCAAATGCCCAGACAGGTGTGTGTGCCTGCATTTAAATCCCTGTTGCTTACAGAGGCATCAAAGCTGGTTGACAGCTTTGTGAACTCCTGGAATAAAAACTAGAAACACCCTTGCTGTGCTTTGTCATCTGTTATGTAAAAGGATGGAGCACAACAAAATCTTTCTCTTCCTTTACACTTGGAAAAAGGCTGCTGTATTTTGTACTGATTATTCAGATAATCCTTCTCAGTTTCCCACATGGAAAAGTAGATAGTATTAAATACACCCCCACCATTTTTTGCAGCAGTCTACACTAAGAGAGTAGATCTTTCTCAGCAAAGTTTGTGCAAAGGCTATGGGATGGGGCGGTAGCAACAGATGAGGAACCTCCATGGTGCCACATTTGATTTCTGTTTCTTCACTGCCATTCTTGGCATGAATGTGGTGTTCCTCTGAGGTGCCACTCTCATCATAGAAGAGGTTTTTTCCTTTTCTTTTTCAGTCAGAAGAGCAGCATGGCAGGAGTGAGCTCCCCACCTTTGTGCTGGGACTGGGAAGGGTCCCAGCTGTGAAAGAGACTTTTCTGGGTGGGACACTCCAGTACTGGAATGGTGCTAGAGATTCACCCTCCAGCACCCAATGGAGATCCATTAGAGAAGTACTTTTATTTCCCAGTGAGCTTTCCCTCAAGGACTAGGAGAGTGAGCCCTTGTAACTCATTGCCCAGTAGTCAATGCTGCCAGAGAGGAGCTGAGATTGAGCCCTCAGCAGCAGGGCAGTCTGATCTATCTGCTCATTTTCCAGGTGCAGCAGACAAGAACTCTCCTGAGCTGCATCCCCACGTTCCTTGCCCTGCCCAAGGACCCAGAGGAGGTGCCTGCAGTGAGAGCAGAGCCCAGGCTCAGAGCAGGCACCGTTGGTGAGCCAGTGTGCATGGAGGGATAGCAGTGGGCTGTGCCACAGCCCATGAGGAAGATCCTGGATCGTGTCCGAGTGGGCGCAGCCATGTGTTGCTGTTTCCACAGAGATTCCCGCTATGGAAAGGAAAAAAGCGCTGGGCTTGGTTAAACATCTGCATTCTGACTTTTATTAAATGAGTTTATCGCTCATTTTACTCCTATCTCTGCCCATTTAAAAGTGCAAGGAGCCCCCGCTCTGCTGCTGACATGAATCAGGAGCACACACTTAAATGCCATGGAATTATGCTGGTGTAAATCCAGCCTGAGCCTCCAAACATGCCAGTATCACACGTGGCTTCATATCTGGGGGGAAATGGATGCAAAATGAATGAGGTGGAACTGAAGAATTGCCCCTGCATAGTCCATTTCCAGGCTTTTCAGTGGAGCTTATCACTGTCCTGTCCAGCTCTTGGCTTAATTTCTTCATTTGTTAAAGATATCTATTAAATGGCAATGGAAATTCAGGCAGTATACTTGCATTATCTAATGCCTCTTCAGCGATACTGCTTTGGCTAATGTAACACTGTTTATCCAATATTTTCTAAGAGTTGGAGACTAGAATCTGATCCGAAAAATGTAACTCTTTAATTACTTAAGAAAGCTCAGTGAAATCAATGGGTAAAACCACAGAATTTGATTAAGCATTCTGTTAATTTTTCATTATTTCTGTGCACTGTGTGTTGCTCATTCATGTTGCTAATTACTCTTGCATTTTCCCAATTTACATAGAATATAATATGAAAAATAAAACCCCAGGCATTTGTGGTCTGCCCACTGAGCATTTGTGACATGAAATTACAGCTCAACAAAGGAATGCCTGAGTATCTGTGTGCACACTGCCTTTACTCCATGAAAAATAGAATACAAAGACTAAAAGAAAGACCATGGCTATAACATTCCAAAGGTCGGTTTGTTCCTCCATCCTCCGGTCACAGTTTTGCCAAGAGTCAGATGCAGGCTGAATCCGTGTTTGTGCACATCTGGACATATGTTTGGCAAAGCACTTACATGAGCATATGTAATCTAGAATCAAATAGACAAATACTGGTATCATTACATTAAAAGAAATTCTGAACACAGGGTTAATTACTTGGATATTTATTTAGCTATTATTAGACATTTGATTCCATTAAATAGGCCCTGGTTCATATAATAAATATTTAGCCACTGATTAACTCCCTTCAAGATTAGATTGGTATTTAATAACCCTTGTACAAGAGAAAAAACCAAAAAAAAGCAAAAACAAAAACTCCACCCCCCTGCCTTTTCCCAGATATTCCCTTTCCTGGGATAAGGGAAAAAATCAATTTCCTAAGGACAAAGATACAACCTGAAATCTCTGACATATGAATGAGAAAGAAGTAATTACCATATCTGTGAAATTTGGAGTAGTAAACACATTGTGCTTTTTAAATTTTCTTTTGAACTGGAAAGAAGCAGAGGGCTTTGAATTGTGCAAATGGAGAGGAATGTTAGCTCATTAATGTACATGGGATATTGGTTGAAAGATCCATTGTTTTCAGCTACTCATGCTTAACTTCCTCTTTAGAAATAAGGACTGACCTCTGTTCTTCCCTGCTGCTTTGCATGTCGTACCTTTAAGAGAATGAACCCATCCTGAACTCAAGGCACTTTGTTCTTTTCCTGCTGCAGCATGAATCTTGGAGAGATTATAACCAATTTAAGCAGGATGGGGGATTCTGTTTCTAACTAGCTAGAAGCAAACTGCTAAGGAACCAGCGAGGGAAAATGAGAGGTATTCACAATAGTCTCCAGCTTGGATTACATGTATCTTGAAAGCACTGGCAGCAGATGCTTGTGGAAGTGATTATGCACTGGATCATGGGCACATCCTTCTGGCTGCCAACATCACTTAGGCACATTTTGTAGTGTAGGAAAAATCGCCTCCGGTTCACAGGAGAAGGAGCTCAGAGTACACTGCAGAAGGCACCAGGAATTGTGGTGTTTAAGGGAGCTCAGCAGTCACTCTGCTGCTCTGGAGCCCGAGCCTGCAGGATCAAAACTTTACCCACAGGATTATGGATCGCAGCCTTTCAAGGGATTTCAGCATTTTGCCATATTTTAATTTATAGACATAATAACACTTCTAGTGAGAAAAATGCTCCTTTCCCTCTTTTTGGCTGACATTTTTTGTTGCTAATTAGGGCAGCTTTATGCATTTATGTAAATAGTAGTTCTAAAGGCTTTTTCCAAGTGATTTTATTCTGTCTAGCCTTTAGGCTGCAGATGTCATTACACAGCTCCACAGTCTATTTGACAGATCCTTAGACACATACAACAAATGGCTTTTTGGTCATGGCTGCACTATATCCCCTGTGCTACTGCACTTTCTTATTTTAAAGTAATGGAAAGTAATAATGGAAATGTTGGGATATTTTTTTCACACAATCAATTCATTGACATTCTCTGAATTTTCAGTATGGAGTCTCTTATCTCTTGTTCTGAGTTCAATTGTCCTGGATTTTCATTCTTTCAAGCATCTCATTCTTTCCTTGCTCTGCATTGCTGAATTTTTTTTGCTGCTGAAAGCCCAATAGGCTTTCTCCTGATTTCACTGAGGCTCCAGGAAAGTGGCAGCAACTGAGGCTCCTGCAGAGTGGCTCTGCTTATTGTGTGGGCTCACTACAGGTGGCCCAGACAGGGGGATTTCAGTTTTCATTTGTACTAGGCTTCACAGGGCATCTGCCAAATCAGCCACTCTGGTTGTTCACATCTGCTGGTACAGAGGATTCTTGGTTGTTTTGTAGTTGGCTGTCCAGATGTGTAGACGGGCATGAAAACTACAAGGCTCCCATGTTACAGCCAGAAACTCCTTAAAAGCTACAATTTATCACCTTCCTGGCTGTTACACATGACAATAGGATTTGCTGAAAGACAGGCAACCTGGTACATGGATTCTTTAATTTTTTTGTTTGGTTTGGGGTTTTTTGTTTTGTTTGGTTTTGGGCTTTTTTTGTTTTGTTTTGTTTTGTTTTGTTTTGTTTTGTTTTGGGGAGTTTGTTTTGTTTTGCTTTTATCTACACCAAAATAAATACGCCAACTTGGGTCTCCATTTTATAACAAAGGAAAAAGTTTATCAGTGAGGAGTCCCTAACCTCTTCAAGTACATGATCCCATTTTTCATCTCTAGGAAATGTGTTGTTCAGCCAATGTTTCTAATTAAAAAAAAAAAAAAAATCAAACCCTTCTCTCTCTTCTCTCCCAGTCCCAAATATCTGTTGTTATCTCTAGTGGTGCCTCCAGCAATGCATCTGAATGCTCTCAGTGAAAAGGGAGTCTGGGCAGTCACATTAGGGAGCAGCAGTATCTGTAAGAACAGCTCTGGCTACAGCAATGACCTGGTTTTATGGGCTAGTCACCATTGAGCCAACTTAGAAACACAAGGGGGACCACATAAACCCTTTGGGGCAAGGAGTTCTGTCTGTTTTGTATCATCCTAGTGCAGGACTATTGTTTGCAGATGTCTTTTGCAGAGCATAAAATGCCAGTTGGAGAAAATCACAAGTAGTTCTGTGAAAATCTTGAGCATCGGGTTGAATTTATCTTTTCTAAAGATTTCCTAGAGATGAAGTAGACCTCCAAGTGGACTCACCTCTTGTAAAATGTGGGAACAGACAGTGTATTTGGATTATTGCAGAGTTGAAGCACATGCTGCTAACTGAGATGCAAAGAATGAATAAACAATGACTTAATGCCATTCCCGTTTCACAGGGAGCCATAAATATGGGGCAGAAGTTGCTGACTAAGGCACTAATTCAGCAAGTGGTAGAAATAAATCAGGAGGTAATGCCACTTTTATAGGGCAAAAAGGATATGGGAACAGACTAACAGAGCAAAGGGATGGGGCTGAGATCAATTGAATGTGAACAGACATCTTGGGCTGAAGTGGCTGCTGCCAGTGCAACCAAACGCTACCAGTGAACCTGTGCAAGGCATCTTTTATATGGAAGGGATGAGCAGTGGGAAGGATTTACACAGCCTTTGTAAAGCTGTGGTGCACTAACTACCAAAGAGGGCTGGGCAGTGCTGCCAGGGCAGCATGAAAGGGGCTTTGTCAGAAAGGAGCACCAGTCGTGGGTCTTCCTGTCAAACACCTGTATCAATTTTTCATAAAAAAAATTGTTATTTTAACCAAAAATGTGGTTGTAAAATCATACAGGCTCAAATTACAGCAGTTTGCACTTGTCTCCTTAAGGTAAATGGCAACTAAACCAGCGCCTTAATTTTTTCTTTCTGTCCCAGGGACATAAAGGCACAACTACTGTTTTGTTCCTGTTTTGGTCATTGCTACCTGTGCTAATTAAATTACAATATTTTATTTGCTTCACTGCTAGTGCTTTCTCTCCTGTTTCCCAGGATTTAGTGACTCTGCAAAGCACGTGGGGGGCTGTGAAGAATCCAGCCCTGTGTTCACAGAGCCTGTCAGATTCTCCTTGAAGGTGTGCACCAAAGCCTGCCTGGAGCTGGCTGCATCAGTGATATGTAATCTCACAGCCCAGCCAAGGACAAATAACCCAATTGTGTTGATCTTGAGAGGTTTCTGAAGTTTCTCTGTATCCTGAAAAGAAGTGAAACCTAATGTCCTGGGAAAGTGTGGTGTGGGGGAAGGAGGTCCCTGCCAGGTGGAGGTGGCTGCAGCCAGGCCCTGAAGGGTTTGGAGAAATCTGTCAAAGGCAGCTTCCCTTCCTACATCCTGCCAAGGAAAAAGGATCTTCTGAGCAGAGTCACATTCCACCAGTATTTGGCTGCCACCAGTTTTCATTTCACTGAGTTTTTTCCACCTGTTTTTAAAGTGGAATATCCCACCCAATGGAAATTTATTCTTTCTGAAATGCAAACCTGGAAATGGGAAGGGGATCCCTGCCATGGAGGGAGCCTGACTCTGCTGCAAAGCACCGAGGGTCTGTGTGATGCCTGCTTTTCCCTGAAGGTGCCCTCTGAGCTTGGGAAGGAGGAAAGAATGGGACCAGGGAAACTGGAACACAATGATTTATAGTAGCTTCAGTTTCCCCAGCAGCATTTGGGATTTATATTGAGTCCCTCCTGACCTAGCAAGGATCAAGAAGGAGGGATTTGTTGTGAGGGAGCACAAAAATTGATTTGAGTCACAAAAGCACAAATGCTAACTGGTGATAACATAGTCACATGGCTTGGAGGTAAAAGATTACCTCAAGGCACCATCACCAACTTAACTTCATGTACATTATTCCTGACAGGCACTCACTCTTGCCTGGAGTTAAAAACCACAATTTGTGAAGTCTGATGATTTCCCAGATGATTTGTGCCATATCTTCACTGTTTCTTTCTATCAGAAATCCTGTAGCAAATGTCTTACCTGTTTTCTTCCTTGCTACAATTTAAGCTCATTGCTGGTCATATCCACCAAGGAAATCTGGATAGGAAAGTTCTCTCCTATTCTCTTTTTATCAACCTTTCAGTTTTTGAAGAAAGTTATCATGTTTATCTTCAGCCTCATCTTCCCCAGACTAAATGTCACTTTATTGAATCTTGCATCATAAATCATGTTTCTACAAAGGCTGATGTATTTTTTACTTCTTTTTTATTCTATTTTCCCTTCATCTATCTTTTCTTGTCTTCTCTCTAACTGATACTTTACCTATCTTCACTCCCTTGCCACAATCTGATTTCTGTCCTTAATTATTTTCTCCATCTATTTCATTACTTTGTAACAAGGCTTGTTCTGGAATTTGTGCTTCTTCTTATTCTGCTTTGCCTTCCTGCTTTTGCAAAGAA